ATTCTTCACATAAATTAAAATTAGTTTTAAAACAACAGTTTAAGAAGTTCACTACTTTTGAAATAAACACATGTGGTTTGGTTCTACATGCATAGTTATTTTCGCTTTGTCATAAAATTTATTAGTGTTAATATATTTTATGTCAAAATAATATTTGTTTTTAAAGAAGTATTAAACACTAATTTATGCGCAAATGTAAATCGCTAGTATATTTTAAATTTATATTTTTTATGCGCTTTATATAATTAAAATAACAGTATTAAAGAAACAATTGCAAATCCAATGCACCCATGCGGTCTTCTCCTTTTTTAATCGGAGACCTCTCTCGAATTTTATTTTTGTTCAAATTAATACAATTAACATTCATTTTGATCCCTATTGTATAGGACCTTATAAGTTTTTGCAGTGAAGTTTTTATTCCTTCAACGCAGATGGGTCACCGGTGACCCCTCTATATATTTTTTTCTGACGTTCTAATTACAAGCAAAAATACATTTCTACGTTTATTAATTTTTAAAAACAGTCTAACAGTTTGTAAAAAAATCTGTCAGATTATCGGAATTATATTCGAACAAAAATATGAAATTCAAGAAAAAGAAAGTTTGAAAACAAAAATTCTTTTTCATTCATATTCAAAATTTTATCAATAATTGATTTCATAAATTATAGAAATTTCAATAGTATACAACTGCTTCTCTTCGATCTAAATAAATGCAAATAAGTGCAAATTTGAAAAATTATTGTTTAGAGGTGAGCCGTGCTTGGAAGGTTTTTACCTTTAATGTAAAAGAAATTGTTTCATGATGTACTCCATAGCCATAATGTATTAAATGCTAAATATAATATTTTTTACTTATTTTGACCTAAATTAACAAAAAACAATGAAAGAAGTATGAAAAATATGCTTAATAAAAAGAATCTGCTCCAAAGAGTAAAGTACTAGCAAAACTAAACAAATTTTGAACTAGAACTCCTGGGTAAGAATCTACTCAAATGAAATATAAAATATAGATAAATAAATTTTTTATCTATATGAGGTAACAAGGTTTCATTTATTTGCGTAATTTTTGACAAAATATGATGAAAATTGGAGATTTTGACCTTTCAAGGGCAGTGAATCTTTTTTTGTTACTTCGAACAATATTCATCTTCTTTAATCATATTGAAGGCGGTGAAAACAATTGTTTTGAAAAATGCCTTTCACATTTCGCGTCAAATAGGAAATTACGTAGCACAGCTGTGTATGAATAACGTTCCAGTATTTACATCCAATGAATAGTACATGTATTTATTTCTAACCGCAAAACATTTATTTTCTATCCAGTGACCATATATAACAGGCGAACCATGTTATAAAAATACCCATATAATGTATTTCCTAAAAATGAGTAAACATTTTACGCTACGTTGGTAAAAATGTTCTAAAAAATAATTAAGAAAAAAAATTGCATGAAAATCTCTGCAGATATGGCACTATGCAAAAGTAACGTTTGTTTAAGGTTATGTGAACAACTTGGGGGAAAAAAATTCTAAACATACTTTTCTCTACTTTTCAGTTTCAATTCAAGTGAATCTTTTTTTTTCATATATATTATTTTTCGATAATTATTGTTCTATAAATTTGACTGACTTAAACTTTTTTGTGGTAGCGAACTTCATAACTGTGCTAAAAATTTTATTGGTCATTACTCTTTTTTTTTTTTGGTGGGTAGGCTAACGAAAATTTTTGGTGAGTTACCATGGGCTAACTATTTCCTACAATCTGTGTACGTTTGAAGGCAAAATCCAAACATTTGGTTTTAAAGTCAAAAATTGACTAAAAATTAATTTGGCCATCTATTTTTTTTTCTGGTGGATGAATGGGCGAACGAAAATTTTTGGTGGGCTAACACGGGCTAAAGTTTATTTTAATGATCTAACGTTGGAAGATTCATATTCATACCAGTGGTTCCCAATTTCACAACTTTGCCAAAATTTGCTTTGGACACAACATTTATTTTTTTGGTGGACTACATTGTTTAAAGATTTCCTGCAATGGGCTTGTGATTTCCTAAAATGAGCTAACCTGGGCTAATGATTTCTTACAATAGACACACGTTTGAAATCAGAATTCAAAGTTGTAGTTTCCAGATCAAAAATTGGTTGAAATTTGTTTTGGCTTCAGCTTTTTTTTCTTGTTGGATGTTCTACCAAAAATATTTAGGGATTAGCCTAGGGTAACGATTTCCTACAAAAGGCTACCATTTGGAGACAAAAGCCAAACTTTTAGTTCCAAGATCAAAAATCGGCTAATATTTGCTATGGTCATAACTTTTTTTGTGAGTAAGCTAACGAAACATTTTGGTGAGCAAACGATTTCAAAATATGGGCTTACCTTTGGAGATAAAATTCACACTTTTTCTTTGTTTAATTTTAGTTTTGGCCATACCTTTCTTTTAGCAAGAAGATTTTCGGTGGATTAACAGGAGCTAGCGATTTCTCACGAGGGGCTAAAATTGAAGGAAAAATTCTAATTTGTGATTTCTAACTTCACAACTTTGTCAAAACTTGTAGAGTTAAGTGGGATAATTATTTCCATTGGGTAACTGTGACCAGCGTTATTTTATAAAAACTCAACAATCATAAGAATTTTGAAAAATATGTTTTATCAAGTTTAAGTGTATGTTTTGTTTCATGAATCTTTTGTTCTTGGATGAAAATTTTTTGTCAATATTCAAATTATACTTAAAAGACTCTAAAAGTAAAAACCTTTGAAAAGCTGTTTGGTCGAACAAACAACAGTTTGTTTGACCGTCAACCGTCGAAAAAAATTTCGTGGTTAAAGAAAATCGATTTATTCGCTGGATTCGAAGTCCAATTATGATTTATTCCATTTTTGATCATCATTTTCTATTTGTACTAAAACTTATTATCTAGAATTACATGATCACAATTAGCCAATTTTTTTAACAATACAGTGCAATTATGACCATATTTTATGTCAATTCGAAAATTGGTGACATTTTGTCGCCCTTTGAGTAAAAATACCAAGAATGTGTATTAAAAAGAAGCATCATCCTTCTTGCATTCTAAAGAACCCGCAAGAAACTTTTACAATGGTAAAAGGTGGGAAACTGAATCAGAAAACAATTAAGTCAGCTGAAAAGTAGAAGAAAAGTTATTTCCGAAAAACCACGAAGCTGGCACGGCTGAACAGGAACTTAAGATAAGAATATAAACTTGGAGAATTTTTATTTACAAAAACCGTGCTTGATTATTCTTGCGACAGGCAAGAACTTTTGATTCTTGTTTGATCTTACGTTAAAGAAAACCTTTTTTTCCCAATGCCCACCTATATTAACATTTTTTTCTCAATTCAGGCATTTACAGGGCAGTTTTGTTGGCCTCTCTCTCAGGGGCACCATATTAGGTGGGCCAACGTTGCTCTACAGTAAGGACAGGTAGTACAGAGAAGGAAAGAACATCCTTGCCTTGCCCGGCACTCGAACCCAGAACCTTTCTGATGCAAGAGCAGTTCCCTAACCCCTACACAGGCTGGTCGGCCATTAAAGATAACTCTATTTCTATCATTTTTAAAGTATATTATAAGCTTATGTTTAGAGTCAAAAAAGGACTGATCTATGGGCTTTATAAAAAGATGAATTTGTTATCCTTGAGGAAAACCATCAGTCATTACGCCTATCTTTCATAATTTAAAAATTCGATTGAAAGTCTTACCAAAATTTAAAAAATTGTTTCATACACAAAGGACAGACATCGTCAAATAAAATCCTCAATCACGATCCTCCCCGTGTGCATACAATAGGTTAAAGGGAGAAAGTACTGATTGGTTATTTATTCGGACTGGCCGTGAGATAGCAGCAGTTCTAGAATATGTACCAGCTGATTGTCATAATTTCTGTATATGTGGTCAGAATTCTGTACATATTGCCAAATTTTCGCATTTTAGGAAATTCAGTTGGGTAATGACGATTAAGAGAGTCAATATGTTACTTAGAAGGTTGATTTTTTTTATCCTTAAAGAATTGAAAGATCATTCAATACCGCTAAAATATTAACTTTAATTTTTTAAGGAAATGTAAAAGATAAGTAATAAAAAATTAAAAAATAATCATAATTACTCCAACTGACCATAATGGCCATCCATAACTATTTTTTGATGGGTGAGTAAACATGGGGTGACTATTTTCTACAATGGGCTAACGTTTGGAGGGAAAATTTGAGCTTGTGGTTGCCAACTTCACAAATTTGTCAAAATTTTGGTGAACTAACTTGGTTTAAGGTTTTCTTACAATAATGTTTGAAGGTCAAATTGAAACTTGTAGTTTCCTAGACAAAAACTGTCTAAAATTTGTTTTAGCCATGAAATTGTTTTAGCAGGTAGGCTAACACTTTCCTAAAATGGACTGACGTTCAGAGGCAAAATTCAAACTAGCAGTTGCCAATTTTATGCATGTCATATCTACTGCTAGATAGTTACAATTTCTCAGAACTCTCAAATTTATTCATTTTTAATTGCTTGAATTCAATTAAGTTTTCAATGATCTACCAATTTCTAAAGATTATCTTATATAATGCCAAGTTTTTAACTTTAAGGGGAGATTTTGAATTCAAATATGGATATTTTGTTTGAAAAGTGGTTGCCTTAACTATCCCAATTTCAGTAAATTTCTTTAAGAACTATTTGTGGGGGCGTTTAATATTTTCATTGATTTTCCTCCTCATATAGCTACCTATCTCACAATCTAAGTAAGGATGTCACGCTTCGGGGATACGTAATTAATCTAGCTCAATAATTTAACAAATAATTGAATTTTAAATAATAACTATCAAAGTCAAACAAGAACGATTACTTCAAAAATAAAATAATAATTCTCAATAAGTTATCAATAATAATTAACAATCAAATAAACTTCGTCAAATTTGCATAATATTTACTTAAAAAGTATCTCACATTCTCGGCCTTCAGTAACAAATCCTTACTACATACATCCGTGACATTGCGATTTACTTAATTCTTGTCACGTGACTAAAAATAGCGTAACAGAATGTAGGCATTCATCTGCATCGACTTTATTTGTCACAATATAAGACAAACGTGCCCTATAATAAAAGTAAGACATAAAAATGGCAAGGAGGCGTAAAATATTATTTCTGTTTTGAGTATAATTTCTCGCTGTGTTTTCTCTTTTTTGGAACAAACATTTCTTATGATTAACAAGCGTTACTTATGCCTTGGTATGTAATACCTAAATTTATGTAAATAGATTGACAAAGGAAAGTGATAAAAGATTACAATTCTTTTCTCGAAATGTGTTACATTTGCGCAAATTCAAACAGGATCCACGTCAACAAGTATTTTGAGAAGTAAGTTAAATTTTTTGAAACTATCTATCAAAAAAAATATTTATATTATTCTCTGAAATACAATGCTTTTAAACTTGGGTGCCTATTAATTAGTTTATTTTAAGAAATTATTATTTTTCATTTAATGCAAGAAATTAAGTAACATTTTAAATCAAACTGTCACTGGTGGAATCTTTTTGTAAATTGTTATGAGCGATAAATTAACCTATTCCCTGATATGGTTGTGAAAAATATACAGTTTTGTAGTGCTGCCTAAAATTTCCCTATGAAAAAAATATTACGCCTGCATTTAAACTAAATGAATGTTATTAACAGTTGACTGCAACTTTTTTTTTTTTTAAAGAATCACTAATTTAGGGTTTAAAACCCTTAAATACCAACTTGTCCGATTTTTATATAAGATTTCCTAAATTAATAGTATTGAAGTATATTTTGTATTTTATAACCGTCATTGAACAGTCGACACAATTTTGGGTTTTCGACTACCAATTTTTTGCTCCGACAATCAATGTTTTGCAGAGTGGGAGAAATTTTGCTTTCGTGGTGGACTTTTTGATTAAACTAACCCGCATTTGCGTTAGATGGAGATGAAAACCACGAAAACCTTCCACGGTTAGTCAGGCTGCAAGGGGATACTAACCCATGATCCGTCTACCACAGAGGATATTTTACATCAACACTATGGTCGGTGCGAGCCGGGTGTGAAATTCGTATCTACCAGCCATTACTGGGATTTGAACCCTGTTTACTTCAATGGAAGGTGAACGCGAGATCCCCTGACCCACCACGGTTCAAAAGGTATGCCAACGGTATCAAAATGCAGATGGTCACCTTCCCAAGTACTGACCGCGTCCGGTAATGCTTCGGTGAATAATTTTTCCGAAAGCAACTGTACATTATTAACATTTAAAAATATATTTGTCTAATATATACGTTTAAGTGAGTGATTTGTCGTGCTCAAGCAATTGTTTTTAATAACCAAGATTTATACGTTAAAACATAAATGCTGCTACATTTAAGGAAAATCGCACAAGTTGGCAGCTATTAATTTCCAATTAATCTCGAGCGCGATATCATAGATAATTGAAAATACATTGGATTCACGCGACTAACAAAAAAATGAATATTTTTACGAAACTGCAAATAAATTCAACATTTTTTAAAGTGAATTACAGTTATTTGTACTAAAAAATAAATTTTAAAAAAATTGTAAAAAAAAGTTGGAATTTTTGTGCTTAGTTAACATAAAAGTACCAGATTCTTATATTTTCAATACATTATGGTGTATTTGCTCCAATAAACAGAAATTTGCACAAATAAAAGGTTGTACTTATGTTAAAATCCATTAATGCTTAAATTCTTTTTCTGCCGTGATGCAGAAAAGCAATTAAAAAAATGTATTTAACTAAATAAATAATTTGTTCTGTTTCTGACTACTTGATTTTTGAAGAGAATTATAAAAAAAACATTTCCTTGATGAGAAAACAGTCCTGTTTCAGATTTAAAAAAGTTAAAAAATAAAGAATTCTCGTAAGTCACATAACATATATGTCATGCTAGGCCAACATGTGCTTTTAGGAATCACTATATTGTGAAACGTTACAAAATTGAAGCTTAACTTCATTTATGAGTGCCTCTATAGTTACAATTTTGTTCAGGGTTTCACATTTCATACCATTAACTTCAGCCAAAAATCAGTTAGCCTCTTTGCTTTTTAGTACTGGACTCTTAACATAATAGGAGATTTCAAACATTTTAGGTTTTGAAGAGAAATTAGGTTAGTTGAACTCATTGTACAGAAACCAGGCTATCACTATATCGCTTTTAAAAAGTAAATTTCGAAAAATTATGCTGAAATTTCAATTATAAAAAAAGATTAACGAAGATAAGAATACTTTGAGTAAGGTGAGAAAAAATAAGAGTAAAAACAATTTTTTAACTACATATTTAATCTTCTGCAAATCCGATGTTAGAGGTTTTTATTACTTAAATGACAATGTGGGACCCGTGCTTTGAAACAGAACTTATATTCTTACGTTAAGAAATACTTTATTTTCTCTTTTCTATGAAAAAATTTTGTCAGTTTCACATGTAGAAATTAAATGTGAATTATGCTTTTAATTAGAATTTTTATAAATTTAAACGCCAACTGTTTTTATAAATATTTTTAAAGTATTAAACACCGAGTTTTGATTACATTTTATTTTCTAGACAAATGTCAATTAATAAATGTCAAAATAAATGTTTAAGTTAAAATTTGATGTATTTTAACTATTTTTAAGAACTGTTTAATCTCGGTCTTTTTTACACAGAACTTTTTTTTTAAAAAAAAAATCTAAGGAGCGTAAATGAACTTTTCGTAAAATGCAGTTATTCTATTCCATTAATAAATCTAAAGTATGAAAAATAATTTTTTTATTCAAATTTTTAAATTTTTCTAAACTTTTTGCTGCTTTGCAAAAAACTTTTTACATGAAGAGTTTGTGATGAAAAGAAAGAGACCGAAATACATGGAAAACCTCTGCTTAGAATTTTGTTCAGCAAAAACTTCACTAAATTACGGTTGTTCATTAAATTACGAAACTTTCAGTTAGAATTGTGACAACAAGATAAAGAGAGACAAAACTACAAGGACAAACAAAATGACAACCAACAAAAGAGAAAAAATACTGTCTCTGATGAAAAATATAACAAAAAAGCGAGTAGGCGAATAATCAAAATAAATGTAAATTAAAAAAACAATGTAGTAACAAAAAAGAGGAAAGGATGGTGCCTTACTGAGAGACAGTGTGGTTTGAGTCCTGAAAACTGTATATTAGTAAGAAAAATGGATCTATGTGAGATATATAATTCAAAATTAATACATATATGTATACATACATATATATATATATATAATTAAACAAGATTTATATTAAAAATGACGCCGGCATTATAGAGGACCATACCCTATTAAAGTATGCTAATTGTTTTCTTTCCTTGTACTATCAAATTTCGTAGTCTAGACAATCATTGTAGGGTCTTATCATTTATTGTTAAATTTTTTTCGTGAAACAATATGAAATGTTTTGAAAAACCCATTTCATTTGGAACTTCTTTAAAAGAGTGCAAAAGCTACTTAAATCGCTAGAAGCTTTTTAAATTTTTCAGGATATTCAAATAGGTCTCTTTTCGCAAATTGCAAAACGTAATTCATAATCGTAAAAAATTGCTAGAAGCTTTTTAAATTTTCAGAATATTCA